CTACTTTAGTTTAAGGAATGATTAGAATAAAACAAGCAATTATAACTTCTCCTGTGTAAATTTTTTATTCACTAAAATTGTAATTTACATGGAAAATTTTGTAATTGCTTAGCTTGTTCTATTCTAGTCATATATAGAATGCTAGTTTGTTGGATAAATTAGCTCACTGCCAAAAAAAAAAACTCTCATACCCAAAAAATATGGATCAAATTTTTAAAAATTTCAAAATATGGCCAATTCATATTGATATAGAAAGAGTTTTACGGTATATTGTTAACAAATATAATAAAAGGCTATAATACAAAATATATAAATGTTGGATTGTTTATTTAGTTTAGTTTTATAATTAGAGCTAGGAACAAGGGTCGAACCTAGTTGATCGGGCTTGGAGGCCCTTTTTAAATAAGGTTCAAGTTTTGAAAATATTTTTTTTTAAAAGTAATTGAGCTTGAGAGTTTGGCCCTGATAAGTCTTGAAAAAAAAGGCTCAAGCCTGGGCTATCCTTCAAGCCTTGTTATATTATTATTATTATTATTATTATTATTAGTATTATTATTATTATATTCTTTGGTGGAACACGTGTTTGAAGCCAATAACCTGTTCACCTAATCCTACATGTATTATATTATTATTAATTTTAATTTATTCTAAAATTAATTTAATATAATTTAATAAATATCAGTGTATAGTATATAATTTTTGATATTTTTTATTTTTTTATAATTATTATGTTTGTGTATATATAAAAAATGAACTATTTTTTAACCGAAATTTAAATTTTATTACTAAACTTCTAAATGTGTGTTGTTTAATTTCTAAAAAATTATGTGTATTTTAATTTTTTTTAATTTTAAAATATTTTAATTAATTTATAATGTTTAATTTTATTTTAATTTTTATTTTTAAAAATAGAGCTTGTGAGCCTGGCCTTGAGCCCTTCACATAAGGGCCAAGCTTGAAAAATGGGACTAAAAATGAAAATTAAATTTTAAGGCTCAGGCCCTAAAGGGTTGAGCCCATAAGGACCAAGCTTTTTAGGATTGAGCTTGCTTGTTTTCCTAACTCTACTTATAATATATGTTATATCTGCAAATGCCCCTCGTTTGTTTTTATTTATGTTGCTACTAAGTCATCTTTTTCAAGTTTGTTTGTATATAATGAGAGAACATTTCCAGATCTATGAATGAGGCATTAGACAGTGGTGAACCTTCGGTCCTTTTATTTTTTATTTTGTTCTGCTTTCAATATTATTTTTTCCAGTTTGCATTTAGAAGAAGAAAAATGACAGAAAAGTCCTCTTAAAATATACAAATAACAATGAGCTCCCACAAAATGTCATAATTCTTTTTAAGTCTCTAGGGACCTTTCTGGCATTAATAATTTTTGGTAAAATAACTAAAATACCCCTTGTTTAAAATGAAATAAAAAGACAATTCTAGCTCCCAAAAAAAGTAAGATTACTTTGGTTTAAGTAATGTCTATTTTTTTTAGTAATGATTAGAACATAACAAGCAATTATAACTTTTCTTGTGCAAATTTTATATTAACTAAAATCTAAATGTTGTAAATATCCATAACTACTTTAATTTAAGTAATAACTACTTTTTCCTGACAATGACTAAAATGAAATAAGCTATTACAATTTTTCTTGTGCAAATTTTATATTAACTAAAATCTAAATGTTGTAAATATCCATGACTACTTTAATTTAAGTAATAACTACTTTTTCCTGACAATGACTAAAATGAAATAAATATTAGTGGCTATTTTGGTTTAGTCAATGACTTCTTTTCTTCTAGTAATGATTAGAAAAGAACAAGCAACTTCAATTTCTCTCCATATGAGTAGTGAGCAAATGCATAGAGGAAGTTATAATTATTTGTTTCATTCTAATCATCATTAGAACAAAAGTAGTTATTGCTTAAATCAAAGTAGTCACTAATATTACTTTTTTTGGGACTAGAGTTGTTTCATTTTTTTTATTTTAAATTAAGGGTACTTTAGTCATTTTATAAAAAATTATTAATGTTAGAAAGGTTGTTAAAGATCTAAAAAATATTATGGCATTTTTTAGGACTTCATTGTCTTTTGCATATTTTAAAGGAATTTTTTATTATTTTTTTATTACAAAACTATTTCCACTTTTTTGGTTCGGGGGTTCTTCATAAAATTGCTCCTTTGGTGAGTTTGTTAATTCAGATTAATAATTTGATGGGAGTGATGAGTCATAGTGATTTTATTTTTGATAATTTTTTATTCTAGAGATTTAAAATTGGCTTCTATTCAACGCGTCATTGAAGAGGGGAAAAAAAACTGGCTAACAGGGAAGCTAATTTAAATTAACATCATGTAATTTTTTTTTAATAAAAAGATCAGTTAAATAAAATGAAAATACCTTACAAAGCATAAGTCTAAGTAACCGTAAAATGAAAAGGGGAGAGAGAAAAAGATCTGTCATGGAAAACATTAAAGCAAACAATACCAAAATTCTCAATCAGCAAACTAATGTCAGTCATCAAAGGCTAAACAGGGTGATGCTTTTGTAGGAAACAGTTTCTATGGCTCTAAGGCAAACAAAATGAAAGAGTTGGTCTCCACTGTTAAAAAAATGAAATTTAACGAGGAAAATATATTTTTTTTATAGTTAAATTGTATTTCAATTAGAAATTTTATCCCTCGCTAAATTCATAGTTAAAAAAAAGCTCGCTAAATTTAGCGAGAAATTGTATTGCCCTCGCTAATTAGTGAGGGATTTAGCGAAGGATTGAATCTCTCGCTAAAATTAGCTAGGGACTGAATCCCTCGCTAATCCCTCTCTAATACTCTTCAAAATTTGATAACTTTTAGCGAGGAATTAGTTCCTCGCTAATCCCTCGCTAAATATTTTATATTTAAAAATAATATGCCACATCACCCATCATGTGTGATGTCAACTAGTAACATGTCATGCTTTATCAACCATCATGTCACCTACCATCTCATCATGCCCTATCACTCACCACATGTGCGACAACTCATGACACATCATTATCCACCTTACGCTATGTCACTTGCTCCTTACCATATCATATATTCATCATGTTTATACTAAAGTCAAGGTTTGAACCCTTGACCTCATATTTTCCAAACTCTATGCTCTCCTTTTTTGCTAGTTGAATTGAAACGCACCTGCAATCATTATATGAGAAATTAAATATGTATATATATTATTTAACTACATAAATATATCAAATAATATATTATAAAAATACACACATATACATATTAAATTTTTATTTTCAATTATTAATATGTTAAAAATATTTATATTTTATTTAAATTATTCTTTATATTATATTTTTAATAAAATATTATTTTATCAATGAAAATCAACTTAAAATAAAGAAAATATTAAATAATTTTATTATGAATATTTTAGTTAATTTTAAATTTAATTATTATTTTTAAATGAAAAATAATTAAATGTACAATTTAAAGTCATTATCAAAGTTAATTTTTTTATAGTAATTAGCTAGGGATAGAATCTCTCGCTAATTATCTTATTTTAGAGAGGGATTGGCAATCCCTCACTATTTTTTCTCGCTAATTCTCTTATTTTAAAAAAGGATTGACGGTCCCTCATTATTTTTCTCGCTAATTTGATATTTTAGAGGGGAATAGAAGATCCCTTACTAAATTTCCTCGCTAATTTGTATTTTTTTAATAGTGCTCAATGGAGGAAGAGCATTTCCCAAAAAAAATCATAATAAATTCAGAGTTGATGTATAAGATAACAGTACAACAAACACTATAACCTCTTTAAACTTGATCATCCTGATATTCTAGTTCCAAATAAGGAGTACTGTCGGATGACAGTTCCAAGCATGACTAAATGGATTGAAGCTATGTGAAGAACAACTTCTATCACTAATATCATACCAATGACATATATAAAAAAAGATAGTGATATTGATTGTGAAATTTCATCAGTAAAATTTGACTAGGGTGATGTATAATCTCATTATGAAAAGCAAGGTTCATCTTTTGCCAAATCAAATTAAGGAGTATAATAATACCTCTTAATTGAAGATCAAGCCCATCTTCATATAAGTAAAAAATCATAGAAACAATCTAGTTAGACAATCCAAGAGCCTCAATATCTAAATAGTAGATAGAGAAAGCACCAAATCATATAAGTCTAGTATAATTACAACTACCAACAAATGCGACAATATTGATTCAGAGTCAAGACATCCAAAGACAATACTTGAAATTAAAAAAATGTAACTTTTTGTTATTAAATATATAATCCCATGATTAAATGGGTTTGAGCTTTCCCCAAAGCACGTAACAAGAAAAAGGCGTTTGAGCTTTAAAGATTGAACTCCGGATTGAGAGAAATGATGGCTTTTATTACTGCATTTGCTTTATACTTTCAATTTTAAAATAAAAATAAAAGGAAAATGTAAAGAGATAGAGAGAGGGAATATGCCACGACAAAAGATGAACACGTCATGCAAAAGGACAACATGTACGGTAGTGATAGTTTCCAATTAAATGGAAAAGTAGAAATTATATACTTAATTATTTATCGGTGGAGAAAAGTATTTGAATAGGAATAAACACCATTTTCTATTCTTTTTTCTTTTTCTTTTGTCTTTATGGAAGCACCATTTTTTATACATGCTCTTTTATGTCTTTACGCATTTATACTCTCCTCATTTCAATATTTTCCTCATCTTAAATTATAAAATATTTTTAAATAAAAATAAACATATTAATAAAATTTATTAAATATATTTTATAATTTATTTTTTAAATAAAAATATAAACTTTTAAAAATATTCTTAATTTAATATTTCATTTATGGAATTAAATTTGTTTTGCTCAGAATTCAACAGGTGTTCTTAATTTAATATTTTATTTATGAAATTAAATTTGTTTTGCTCAGAATTCAACGGGTCCTTTATTTCTTCCTTGCCCATTGTTTGTGTCCATCGATGGGCAAGAAAATAGTGGCCATCGGCCTCAGGTTCAATTCCTGAGATTTGATTTTCTTTCCTTCTAAGAAGATCCATTCCCAGTATTTGGAAAGATGAGTGTAGAATCTATTTTCCATATGGTACCAGAGCCTTAGCTCGTGACCCGACCCACTTTGAATCTATTTGATCCATTTTTTTATCTAAATCTTTCATCTTTTTCGGCTAACCCTAATCCCCCTTTCAAGTTTGCTCATCACCTTCATGCTTGTGTACGAAACAAAGTCCACACACAAACCTTTATTGCTGTCTTTCTGCAATCTTTCTATGAAAGATGATGTTGTCCGAACAACAAGGCATCAAAGATGCCTCCAATCACAACGTCGCCGCTCCTCTAGAACTGAATCATCCCTTGTATCTTCATCCTTCAGAGACGCAGATGACTACACTAGTAACCCAACCTCTAATCAGAGCCATGAACAATGCAATATGAAGTCGAGCCATGAAGATGGCTCTCTAAGCAAGAAACAAGATCTGTATTGTTGATCGTTCCTATAGACGAGATGCCCAAGATCCCACTCTCCCACTCTATGTGCATAGTGGGATTGCTGCAATGTTGTCATACTCTCATGGTTGCTTAACTCTATATCTAAGGAAATTTCAGCTAGCATCACCTTTTCAGAAAATGTGAATCTCATTTGGGAAGATCTCCAAGAACACTTTAGTGTCACTGATGGCTCCATGATTTACAGCCTACATCATTTAATCAACTCTCTCACACAAGAATTGATGTCAGTATCAAGCTATTTTACGCAATTGAAGGAGTTATGAGAGGAGTATTCTGTAGTTGTACGCCTCTACCTAATTGTAAGTGCAATTCCTCTCTTCAATATGCAAAGAATGTTCAACAACAAAGGTTGTTCCAATTTCTTATTGTAATAACCAAGAATTAAAAAAAAACTTGGGTTCATTTTGTAATTTCAGCTTTACAAAATTATCAATATACCCTTCCCTTCATCAGATTTATAATTTTCTCTTTCCCTTCTCCTTATCCAGTCCCGATTTTGCACAGAGAGAGAGAGAGAGAGAAAAATCTATGGTGCCATCACCGACTTCCCTTTCTCATTCATTCCTCGTTCTCGCCGGCGTTAGTGGTGGTCGTTGCCACCTTGCCAGCAGGTTCTTCATCGTTTCTGTCTCTGGTGGGCTTCGTCGCTCCTCATGCTGGCTTGCCATTCGTGTTTGGGTTTGAGTAGTGGGTGGAATGAGAGCTGAATCACTGATCTAAGGTATTTCTTGCGGGTCTGTTGCTCCTTGGTCTGGTTCGATTAGTTCAGTTCTTCTTCCTCTTGCGTGGGTTACATTTGAATCTCTCCCCTGTTTTGCTGTAGGTTCTGTCTCCTTCATTGCCTTTGCCATTATTAGTGATTGAGGTGATAATCTTGAGGATTCTTGCTTGATGAACCTGTGAGAGAGAGAGAGAGTTGATTGATGATTGAAATTATAAATTTTTTGTGTATGTTCTGTTGCTACCCATGACCCAAAAAGAACAAAAAAATAAATATGCATTAGTATTGAAGAATGATGGTGATACATATGGGCCATAATTTTGGAGTTAAATTGATTTTGTTGATTTGGTTGATGTTAAAGAATTTACAAAGGTGAAATTGGAAGAAACAAGTTTAGATATATTGTTGGTGCCTTTGGGATGTCATTGAAGGGCTATGAGGAAATAAAATTTAACTTCTAAATATGATAGAAATTATTGGTTTTGAAATTTACCTGTAGATTTATAAAGGAATTTAATTATGGGCTTGCACGCAGTTATTTGTATATTTGGAGTTTGTTTGATTTTTGGTAAATTGTTGAAGGTTTTAAATTAAAAAGGTAGAAGTAATGCACCTAAGGTAAGTGGTGTAAAGATTGGGAGAAAACTTCTATTTCAAGAAAATAGAATGGCATGGCTAAAGTTTTATGGAGGAAGTTAGAGGAATGAATGATAATGCTTGAACTAACTTTAAATCATAAATTTGGTTTTCAATTTTAGATGGTGGTTGGTAGAGATTGTGTTATAAATTAAAAAGTTATTAAAATTATATATATTTATATTTTATAGGGTGTTTGGAAGAACAAACCCTGACAAGAATTAAAAGAAGAATACTTTCAGGAATTTAGAACTCCAACGTGTGAGTGAATAGCATTCCATTTAATGTATTTTTAATAGTCTTTAACTGAAACATTTTATTCCTATGAATTGCATTAATTTTGAAAACTATGAAATATTAATGAAGGACAAACGAGTTATGATATGTGCATTTATTTATGTTTAAAAGGGTATTTTCAAGATTGCTGAAAGCATTCTGGTATGGTTATTAAGCTTTGAAATGTATCGGCTGTTCAATTATTGCAAGTTTGTATATTAGCTATTAAGTATGATTTTCACAAATTTTGAGAATTGAAATGATTCATGCAAGTTTGGCATTGAGAATGGTAATTTTATTACAGCAATAATTATTTTTCTCACATGTTTAAAACGTGATTTTTAAGAGGACTCTAAACAGAACACTGCTACTAACGACAATTCCGTTAGCCTGTAGCATGCTGTGGTTAAACACTAGCTAGTTTGTTTTGTGAGTTTTATTCTCACGTTTGGTATTCGTGGGCTTTGCACTCGCATTTGATTTCATGGTCTAAGTCGCATTTGGTTATTTACCCTCGTGGACTGTGTGTCCGTGTTTATTTCGTAACTTCGACTGCGTTTGGTTACTTACCCTCGTGGACTAGTGTGTCCATATTTGTTTTCGTGGCATAAGCCGTATTTGATTATTTACCCTCATAGACTATGTGTCCACATTTGTAACCTGTTCTGTTGAGTTCTCAAAATTTTAAATGTTGATTAATATGTGTTTTCGAAATTTACATGATTTTGGCTAGCAACTTTTACCACTTTGAGTTATATGTGAGTAGATTGTTTTCTTTAAGCATAATAACATAAATTATTTTCAATTTACCCTTATTTTACAATTATGGTTATGACTTATAGGCTTATAAATTTTTATGGAATTATTTTTAATTAGTTGACACCATTATTAGAGTTTATTGATTTAAATTTTAAGAATTTTACCATGGGAATACTATTCACTGAAAAGCTCATTTTGACCTCAGATTTGTTAGCTGACGCTGATCCCACCATTGACCTTTGAAGAGCAAAGTAACTACGGTGGGTGGAAAATTTTTGATTGATACTGTTGCTTTTAACGTAAATATATAATTGGTATGTCTTTTTGATTAAAAAGAATAGATGCTCCACATAGATTGTTGATAGACTTTATTTTGGGTTATATATTGGCTACTGGCTGGAAGGAGCTACGCTCCTGATTTATACTGTTATTTGCAAAAAAATTTGTTATAGAATTTTCGGGAGATCCTAATTGTAAGGGAGGTTTTGCCAAAATTTTTACAAAAACGTCAACACTTTCTTATAACAATTAGCTTAAAAAAATAATATATATATATATATATATATTATTTTAATTCTCATGTAATTTGATTAATTTTTTTTCTTTTCGTTTGTAAAACGGAATAAATTTTCATTTTGAGGCTTACGGGAATGTGTGAGTAGTTTACATCCGTGCTGGTCACTCTCTATTTTTGGGGCATGACACTTATGGGACTTAACTCATCATACTAACACGTTCGAAGTCAGATTTTATTGATGCACCCTCTCTCAAAAGTAAATTAGGCCTACCCACTGGTAAGCAAAGAAGAGATGCAGTACAACTTAACCCTTCCTCCATAAAGCCTGAGTAATGAAGGCTTTGCCATGGCAACTGGAAGACATGGTAGGTTCAATAAAGGATAAGGACAGTGCAGGTTCATCTAAAGAATCTATATATCGTCACCACCAAGGCCACAAATGAGACAATTGCTATCATTAAGTATGATTCCCACCGGGCTTTGGTAAAGGAAGAGGCACTTAGGATCGACAAGTACCCCTACTACTAATTTAGTCCTATCTAATCACAAGCATGTCAACTCCTTTCTTAACAAGACTATATATGATAATATTCTCAAGATGCTGCACAAGGATACTAAATCCATCCCTGTTGGTGTTGTGACTGCAAATGACTCGAAAGAGTCATTAGGTTTAGTCTACAATACTTTACCTGTTATAAATTCAATTGCACATATTTCAAATATATGTGCATAAAGCACAATGCTTGTTAGATTTAGGGGCCACTGCACATGTTGTTAGTTCATGAAATTTTTTAGATAAGTACATTAAATATATTAGCCCCCTATTAAAATACGTATCCCAAATTGAGAAAAACTACCTATCACACACACAGGATCCATCACATTGTTTGATAATATAGTCCTAGACAATGTTCTATATGCAACTGGAATTTATTCTGATCTAGTTTCCATTCCACATCTCACTTTAGAACTCAATTGTGTTTTTGCTTTCTTTCTTGATGTATGTGTCTTATAAGATCTTTACAATGAAAGCACCAGGATGATTGGTAAAATAAATTCTGGACCTTACATTGTTGAAGAAACTGACATTCCTATTTGTAATTCTTCTGTTCCCAATAATGAACTTTAGCACCTTAGACCAGGCCATGCCTCGATTCATGTTCTTAGACATCTTAGTGCTTTGAGATATGAATTGTTTTCTACTCATAGTGATAAATGTGATATTTGCTTACAAGAAAAGCATCCATGGCTACCCTTTCCTTATATTAATAATAACACTGTTCATTGTTTTGATCTCATTCATATGGATGTCTGGGGTCCATATAAGAACCCACACACTAAGGGTATAGTTATTTCTTAACTATTATAGATGATAAATCACATGCAACTTAGGTATATTTGTTAACTAATAAATTTGAAGTATTTTATTATATTAATATTTTCTTTGCCTATTTACAGACTTAATTTTCTGCTCCTATAAAAAAGGTGAGAACAAATAATGGAATTGAATTTGTTAATAATTATGTGTCTACTTATTTTTTGAATAACGGAGTGATTCACGAGACCTTTTGCCCTTATACTGTAATGACCCAAAATTTTAAAATCTAATAATTTTTTTACCAATTGATATTTAATTTTAGGACAAATGAGGAATAATAGTTTAGTGAAATTGATGTTGGTTACTTATATAGAGATTTAGAGTTTGAATCTTATTTAAATTAAATGTTAGTTTATTTTCTTTTACTGGAAGAAAGTGCTAAAATGCCTTTGTCTTTTATAATAATAATAATCATGATGATCATGATAATGATGATGATAAAACAAAAATCTGAGGGGTCTTCAAATTTCTCATCAACTTTTATAAGTTATTTTTGTTTCTTCCTTCTTTGTCGGTCAGCTACAAATGAGAGAGAGAGAGCTTGAACCCTGCATCTAGAAATTTCGGCCATCTCAACTCTTCTCTCCATCATCCAGCTCGTCATCGGTGGTGTCAGTCACTGGAAATATTCTCTTTCCCTTATGTCCTTCACTCCTTCTCCTCTATTCGTTTCTTGGTTATGGGTATTAATTTGCTTCAATTGGATGTACTTGTCTCAAGTTATGATTATTTAAAGTTTAGGATCAATTATTTGTTCATAACATGCTAAACTAGGTGAATAGTGATTAAGCTTTATTGTTTGTTAACTGATTATATTGGTTACTAATAAGATGTTTAGGTATCATAAATGAGTTGAAATGGTTTTTGGTGGGGTGGGTGGAGGAGAAAGAGTGATGTTTATGAATTAGATGAATACGTCGTTTAAATATTTTCTTGACAAATTTGTGAAAAAAATAATAAAAATATAAATAAATATAAATATAAAATATTGATAAAATTTTTTGTGTATTTAAAGGAGTTCAAAATAACATGATGAGCATTATTTATGTTTGACACCACTTAAGTTTAACGAGCAGTGTTTTAAGCAAAGTTTTTGAAACATGAATGTTAGTATATCAAGTTACCTTTTATGTCATGTTATGTCTGAAGATGTAATTTAAGAATATCAAAGGGAGAAGGAATTCAAAATTTACAACTACTCACTATGGTTATTGGAATTAAAGATTTTTAGATCTAACAATTCATAAGATTTTTCCTTAATAAAGCTAATTCAAAGGAAAGTAAATTGTAAGGGGTGAATCTTATGAAAAGAGAATAGAAGTTATTTGATAGTGGTTGTTAACAATGCAATGCAAAATTGAAAAAAAGGCTTATTTTGATTTTGGTATCTGAGACAAGGTATTCCTTTAGTTGTCCTTCGTAAAGACTGTGATAAAATTCGAGAAGGAAGGAAAGTTGAGCATGAGGTAATTCAAGTCATTTGAACTCTTAATAAGAAGAGTTGGTGTTGTGGCCTATCTTTTGCACTACCACATAAATCATTTAGTATCAAATATTAATCCCTCTCATGTTATTGAAAGTCAAGGGATCCAAACAAATCAGACTCAATTTTATCTTATGAAGAAGTACTTGTAGCCATTCTTGTTAGACAAATAAAAGTTGCAATCGAAAAAAAAAATTTACTTTGGTGAAGGTATTGTGATGCAATCATTCTCAAGAAGAATTAGTTTCATGAGAAGTGGAAAGCAATATGTATCTTAAGTATCCACACTAATTTGAAAATTGAGGTAAATGGAGCATCAAATTTTTTTAGGGGTGAAGAATGTAAGGATTCAAAATTTTAAAATCTAATAATTTTTTTTTAGCAATTGATATTTAATTATTTATTTTAATTTTAGGATAAATGAGGAATAATAATTTAGTGAAATTGTTGCTGATTATTTATATAGAGATTTAAAGTTTGAATCATACTTGAATTAAATGTTAATTTATTTTCTTTTACTAGAAGAAAGTGCAAAAATGCCTTTGTCTTTTATAATGATAACGATAATACAAAAATCTGAGGGTCTTCGTTTGTAATGTTCCCATTAACTTTTATTTGTTATTTTTGTGTTTCTTCCTTCTTTGTCGGTCAGCTACAGACGAGAGAGAGAGAGAGAGAGAGAGAACTTGAACTCTGCATCTAGAAATTTTGGCCATCTCAACTCTTCTCTCCACCATCCAGCTCGTCACCGGTGGTATGGGTCACCGGAAATATTCTCTTTCCCTTCTATCCTTCGCTCCTTCTCCTCTGTTCGTTTCTCGGTTGTGGGTGTTATTGGAGCTTCTCTTCCGTTTGAGAGCAAGAGAAATTGTTGCTCAGAGCTTCAGATCCTCGATCCAGCCAACTCTGTCCTTGTGTTCTTCAACACACTGCTGACGAGAACAGGAGCTATACTTGCCGTTGCTGTGATGTTCGCCCAGAACCACAGCGTTGTGGTGCAAATCGTGAGTCCTTTCCTCCCCTGTTCTATGTTGAATTTCCTCTTCCTTCCTTGATATGTGTTTGCCGTGAACCTCCATTTTTGAGTATGGGTCTCGAAACTTTTCTCCTTCCTCGCATTGTCGTTGCTCTTCCTAGTTCGGTGTGTTAGTGGGTGCTATTATTAGGCAGAAGCTTAGAATTCCTCTCCTCATTAAATCCCCTGCGTGCGTGTGTTTTAATGGTTGATGTTGTGTGATTTATTTTTCTTTCCTGAATCTGTGTGTGTGAGAGAGAGTGATTAGTGTGAAATTTCTATTTTTTTTTCTTGTTCAATGTGCTGTGTGAATTTCCTTCTTCGTCTGCTGTATGTGCTTGTGAAAAAAGGGCCGTGGAATTAAGCTGAATTTTAGTCCAATGAAGGTGATTTAATGTGGGCTTGAGCTGTATTAAAATTTATATTGATTTTGTTAAAGGAATGGACTTGGAAAGTTGATTTATTCATAATTTATGCTAGAAACTTTTTGGAAGGTAGAACCGCATAGGAAGAAGCTTGATGATGATTTGAAGTTTAATGTCCATAAGTGTTTAACAAAATGACCAAAAGAGATTTTTGTTATATAATGGCATGATATACATATGATAAGTATATTATTGATTAAATAAATTATCATTAGAAGCTAATTACTCTCTTTGATGGGAGTTGGGAGGTGAATAGTTTAATTATAGATATAAAAAAACTTTTGGAAAGGGAGTTAATGAGAAAAAAACATTTGATTTTATGGTTTAGATATTGAGCATAGAAAGGAAGACTTTGATATAAAGTGGAAAATATATACAACAAATATGCCATTATTGATTAAACAATCATGTTAAGCATTCATTCTTTACGATGAAAGTTAAAGAAGAAATTAGAGATTTTTGGGAGAAAAATTTGAGCCAGCAATTTAAGAACCAATTTGATATCCATTTTTAGGATGTCATTGGAATATTTGATGCAATATTGGAAAAGATAAAATTGAAGGTTTTTTTTTATTTCTTTAAGTTGTTTGGGATTTCAATATTTTGGTTGGTAAAACATGATTGGGAAAGTGACAATGATATTATTTGAATGTTAGGAATTTTAGGACAAAGCATTGTCCCTTAAGGACTAGTTTGGAAGTAAGTTAAACACTTGAAAACTTTACAAATAAGTGGATAGCATCCTAATTGCTTTACCCATAAAATTATTTTTCTAAAATATTTTATTTATGTAAATCATTTTAATAACAACTATGTTAAGTATTGAATGCTTTGTTATTTAATATTTTTTTACCTTGGAAAAGTATAAAGAGATGTTGAAAGATATTTGAATTATAGCATACGTATGGGTTTTTCTTTATAAAGGATACTTTAAAAATTGATGAAATTATTTCTATCAACTCTAGTTATTTTTGGGGTACTCAATAAATGCCAAATATGAATATTAGTTGCAAAATTTTATTTTGGCAAAAGTTTTTAATGTTTAAAGCTATTCATGTGAGTTTAACTTTGAAAATGGGAACTATTATTTTTATAGTGATGATTTTCTTTCATGTTTGAAAATGAATTTGAAAGGGATATTATACAGAACATTGGTTGTTAACAGCAGTTTCGTTAGCCCTTGGCACACCATGATCAATGACTAGCTAGTTTGATTTTCATGAACTCTGTGCTAACATTTGTTATTCGTGGGGTTATTACCTACGTTTGTTTTCATGGCTTCAAGTCGTGTTTAGTTAGCATTATTCTCGTGAACTATGTGTTCACGTTTGTTTTGTGGCTTTGCCTGCGTTTGGTTACTTACTTTCGTCGACTGTGTATCCATGTTTGTGAATTGGTCTGATAAATCCTTAGAAATATGATTTTTTTTAAATTAATTGATGATTTCCTATTTAATGATTATCAATTAATAAATATTGTTATTCTTATTTATTATTTAATTATTTTGACTTGTCAAGATCAAATGTTGAAGCTGCTCTATTATTATAGATTTAAATATTTTTGTTATTGAAGTTGTTTAGAATTTTTTTATTTATTAATTTAAATTACAAATTTTATTATATTGAATCGCTTTATCTTTTATTTTTATAACTGTTGTAAATTATTCAATTTTATCTTGTAAAATTTGATGGTTGAGACGTTATTCACTAGAAAGTATTTTGGTCTTAGATAGCATAGTTGGCGCTGTAAATCTCATTTATCAATGATGGATTTTGCTAAACTGGGTGGAGATTTGTTATGTAAATATTTATTATTGATGTAAATATGAAATTTATCTATTATGCCATCAGGAATATGTTTAGGTGTTCCATATAGACTATAGTTAGAGTCATTATTTTATTATATATTTTGTCTGTTGGTTGAAAAGGACGAGAGGCCCTAATTATAGTGATTTCTATTTGAGAATTTTATATAGACTTTTTGGGGGTTCATATTTATAGAAGGAATTCAGCCCAAATATTTACAAAAATATTAAGACTTTTATTTGAAGGAAAAACATTAAAGATGTCCTAATTCTCATACAAATATAATTACAATTAAAAAAATAGAAAATTCTAGAAGTTGAAAGGAACATTGGCATATTCTAGAAGTTGCTAAGAGCCTTATGTTTGAAGCTAACCTTCCAATTAAGTTCTAGGAGAAAGTATTAGAGCTGTCATTTACCTAATCAACAGAACACCCTCTAGGGTCATCAATTACAAACCCCATATGAAATAGTATATAAAAAATAAATTGACTTGGGTCATTTAAGGATTTTTGGATGCTTAGCTTATGCCAAATTTTTAAATGGACTAGATAAATTTCATCCTAGGTCTAAACCTTGCATCTTTTTTGAATATCCCAATAATCAAAAGGGGCACCTTCTTTATAACATTGCTGAAGATAGGCTATTAATTAGTAGAGAAGTTGTTTTTCTTAAAAATAAATTCCTTTACAAAGATAAGGCCTTAATAAATTCAAGCCAGGAGGGACTCTCTAAATAAAACTATTAATCCTTTTTTATTTGACTCTTCATTGGATAATTATCAAGTTGTTGATTCTGTTCCTAATCATTCTGATGTTGCTTTAGATAATGCTTCTTCTAATTATATTACTAATGATAATGTGCAAAATCATCTTAATCCTAGTTTACCAACTAATAGCAGCAATGATTCAATGACTCAAAATGACTCTAATTTACATTCTCATATTGAATCTTAACCATCACATCCTGTTAGACACGGAAAAACTCCAACTTGACTTAGAGATTATGATTGCACTAAACTAGCTCATTTAAATAGTATTGAATCCAAGAATACAAAGAAAATTATGTACCCTCTTCAACACAATGATTGTTACACTAACATATCATCTTCTTATAAGGATTTTTTAATATGCATTGATGAGATCATAGAACCAAATACCTTTGAAGAGGCAGCCACAGATAGTAGGTGGGTAGAGGTAATGAAAAATGAGATAGATGCCTTAGAAAGAAACAAAACTTAAGAGATAGTTGACCTTCCTACTGGTAAGAAAGCTATAGGGTTTCGATGGAGTTTGAAGAAGAAATATAATGCTCATAGAACCTTAAATAAATTAAAGTCTAAGTTAGTTGCAAAAGGATATAGTCAAATAGAAGGAGCGAATTGCTTTGACACTTTTCCCCCTGTAGTGAAGATGATCAATGTTAGGACTGTTTGTCTTTAGCTATTAAAAATAAATGGACCATGTGCCAAATGGATGTGGATAATGAGTTTTTACAACAGGACTTGACTGAAGAAGTTTTTATGAAAATACATCAAGGTTTTTGCTAAAAATGGAGAGAAGAAGGTTTGTAAACTTATCATGTCTTTATATGGACTAAAACAAGCATCAAGGTAGTGGAACTTAAAATTATCTGAGCCGTTAGTTGCTGGAGGTTTTACACTGAGTAAACATGACTACTTCTTGTTTTCTAAACAGAAGGGTAATAATTTAATTTTAATTTTGGCCTACGAAGATGATTTACTTATTACTGGAAATTCTAATTCTTTTATTCAGCAAACAAAAGATTATCTTCATAGTAACTTCAAAATGAAAGATCTAGGCACTTTGAAATATTTCCTAGGTTTGGAAATAGCTAAATCAAAAAAGGGGTTGTCTTAAACCAAAGAAAGTATGCTTTATATCTAATTACTAGTACTGGGTTGAGTGCCTGGCCAAGAAATGTTCTTATGGCTCAAGGTCTAAAGCTGTATAGTGAACCTAAAAAGGGGGAGAAAGATCCTCTTTTACTTGATGCAATTAGATATAGACAGTTAATTGGTAAAATGTTGTATCTAACCATGACTCGTCCAGATTTGAGTTTTATTGCACTAGTGCTAAGTCAATATATGAGTGATCCTAGAAATTTGCATATGAAAGCAGCCATGAATACATTTAAATACCTAAAGAAAGAACCTGGTTGAGGCATTTTCTTTGCCTCTAGCTAGTAGAGGAATGGTTCTTGAAGGATATTTAGATTTTGAATGGGAAGCATGTGCAGACACTCGAAGGTTTGTAACAGGGTATGTCATCAAAATGGAAGGAGTGCCCATTGTGTGGAAATCAAAGAAGTAGACAATAGTTTTACATTCTTTAATGAAAGAAAAATATAGAGCTTTAGGAAGTATTGTAGTAGAAATTACCTGGGTGGTTAGCTTGTTGAAAGACTTAAAGGTTTAGAATCCTCTTTCCATTCCAATACATTATGATAGCAAGGCAGTAATTCAAATTGCTTCAAATCTGGTATTTCATGAATGGATAAAACATATTGAAATTAATTGTCATTTTGTTCGTAAGAAGATTTAGGAAGGGTTGATTAAATTGCACGTATCTTCTTCAGATCAACAAGCAAAAATCTTTACTAATGCTTTAGGTTATATTGGGTCGCGAGAGAATGTTAATCAAGTTAGGAACCATAAATATTTTTGGTTCTAACTTGAGGAAGAGTGTAGAAATATTAATATGTTTAATGCTCTAGATTAATATCTCTAGATATTTTGTTTTATTATTTGGGTTAGTTTATTTGTTTTAGGTGTGTTTTTTATTTTGGGCTTTATATATAGTATGCCCCATCTTGTATCTCATGTAAACTTTCTGTTCCAAAACCCAATGGGTTCAAAAAGAGTATTATTCAACAAAAGTGATTTTCTATAATGAGTGTGAAACAAGTGCCAATTTCGCAACCTCAAGCTGTAAATAGGAAATTGATTGAAGCAACATATTTCTCAATAGGCTACGAGAATTGGCGAAACAAGAGAGTCAAAATAGACATGTGACGATGACGATTGAAAGCTTTCTTGGGATGCATAGACCCACACACAAAATTACCTTAACCTCAACCAGATTGAAAGTCACATTGAAGGGCCGCTGGAGCAAATTAATTGTGAAAAAGGGATCAAAGTATTTTGAATTATTCACTTAAAGTCCCAGCTAAGATCTGATATGAAAATAAAATTGAAAGAGAAAAGAAGAAAATAAATTTTTTGAACTTTAGTTGGTAAAATATTATTTTGACAAGAATGCATATAAAAAATGACAAGTAAAAACAACAGTTTAACAAGCACGAGTATGGGAAATGCCAAGTGTAATATTCTAACAAGCCTTAAATTAAGAAATTATTCCATTTCTAAAATATAATTATATTTATATTGGAATTAGGAAATCCTTGATAATTTTCATTTAAACAAAAGCCTTAATATTTTTGCAAGAATTTCAATAGTACCTCCTAGGAATTCTACATTACTATTTTACAAGTAGAATATCACAGTAATTAAGAGTAATACTCCATCGAACCAACATACAAGAGTAAATAACAAAAATAAGGGCCCTAATTATAGTTTATATGGAGTACCTAATTATATTTTCAAAATATAATACATAAATTATATAATTACATCAAAAGGAGATATTTACAAAATAAATCTCCACCCAACTCAGAAAAAAGTTTCTTAGTGGTCAGTAGATGTACAATACTATTCATATTGTTTGAGATCAAACCAAATATTTTTTGATGAATAACGTCCCAATGTAAATTTAAAGAAAGTAAAAGGAGATAATTATATAAAAAATTATGAATTCCGCAATAATAATCATTATCATAATAAAAAACACATGTATCTTAGTTCAAATAATCTTATATAAAAATGTAAAACCCAATATATACATGAGTGATTATAGGTAATAGAGAAATCAAGTTCATTTCCAAATTATAACCTTTGCTTTAAACATTGAACTATATAAATTATCTCAAAAGAAAAAAAATCCATGCATAGTCAAGTAAACAGCTTGTTAGAAAAACCTACTTTTAAGACAATAAATTTCAAAATTTCATATTTTGTGGGACTCCATTAGAATGAATAATAACTGTGGACATAAAGTTTATGAGGGTAAATAACCAATAAGCATAGACACATTGTTCATGAGGATAAATAACTAACAAACATGGCTGGAAGCTATAAAACAAGCACAACAAAAGTCACGAAACAAGCATGACAAAAGTCATGAAACAAGCATGGGCATAGGGCCCATAAAACAAGTGTGAGTATGATATTCACTATAGCAAGCTAGCTAGGATTTAACAATAGCGTGCCAAGGGCTAACAGTTTGCCATTAATAATCAGCATTCTAATTCAATCTCACATTTTAAATCAAGCATGCATGTGTCAATAAAATCAATATATTATTTCTTTGAAAAATTTCTCATCATGCTTAACATAAATGAATTCATTTGTATATATATCCCATACATGGATCATGATAATTAATCATTCTTTAAACATAAAATCAACATTTTCAATATAGTTGATACTTTTGGATATTCAATTGAAAGATAAAACCAACTCTTTTTATAACAAATAATATAATATAATATAATATAATATAATATAATATAATGAAAAATTTCATGTATGATAGTTAATAATAAGATTAAGATCATGAACCATAAAAATAAATTAAAATACTCTATCATTTGTTCTTGCGGAACAAAAAAGGTTTTATAAATAGAAGAGATGACACATGAAAATGTTAAATCAATATTTTTGTGAAAATGAATTTGCTAATGAGTCATTAATATGTTATTCATTTGCTTGAAATGTTCTAAAAGTATGAGATTCTCCTTTTACTACATTAATTGATTTTCTCTTCTTCCTAACTCCCTAATATAGAATATATTAGGGTTTTAATAAACTTCTAACAATGCTTAAAAAAACCCTCTTCCAACATTCACACACACACACACACACACAAAATAATTATAAATTTAAAATTGTGGAATCCAAGATTCACACAAAAGTTTCTTTATCGACAATGTTAATTTTCCAATTCACTCAAAAGAGCTTTGTAGCATTCAAACCTATTATCACATTATTTATTAACAACCACCCACCTTTAAGAATTCATAAAATTACAAGCTAATTTCACAATCATATTTCCTTTGCAACCTTGAAGTTAGTTTATGGACAAATAACACCTATGATAACATACACATCACAGTATCCAATGAAATTTCACAAAAATGCAAGATCAAGCAAAACTCTTCTAACAGACATTTTATCGAACACCTTACGAACATAAATCCTTTAGCTAATACTAAACTTCTTTTCTTCAAATTTCATTTCCAAAATTTTCTAATATCAATAATTGAAATAATCTAGCTCCCCAATTTAAACCCTTCAACATATATAAATTTTTATACTCCAAGAATCAAATTTCCAACTTTACATTCCTCATGGTTAACAGAAAAATGGAGGAAAAATTCACAACCTCAACCTATAATCATATGCACGCAGCAACAAGGAAGTCAGAGATCAAAGCTTCTCACCTCATCAAACCACCAACAACATAAAAGACGAAGAAGTGCACGGTAAAGAACAGGGGAAGGAAGCTTTGACAGTAACGCCACGCACAAACAGAAGAAGAGCTCATGATCTCACTAGAACTACTTGTAAGGGCAATGACCGGTGACTTTAGTAGTGATGGCGACGGATGGACAAGCTGGACACTAGCAAGGTTGAGTAATCTATGACATGAAACAAGGGAGGAAGCATTCACGAACCAGATTCCTATAAGGATGGAAGGAGCTCCAACACCACCCACACTGTCAATGATGGCTAAGATGAACATAAAAAAAATGGAGGGAGAAAAGGTTGATCTCCCTGGCTCTCAAACATCTAAAATTTTAGAAGGAGAAGAAAAGAATTGGCAATGGTACCTGTGTGCTGAAGTGCCAGACCTCCTTTTCTTTATTTTTTTATAGAAGGGTAAAAATGGTAATTTGTGGCTGAAACAAAATGAAAAAAAATCCACTCTTGATCTGTGGAAGGCTTGAACTCAAGACCACTTAGGTAAATGGCTACATAGTCTCTACTAGACTAGCTCTTCTTCTTGCTAAATATGTTCCCAAAAAAATAAAAATACTCTTAAAATGTATTATTACATATTTTAATTTTACTTAAAAATTTATGGGTTATTACAGCTACACTATACTCCTAACAGCCAAGCAGGTCACATCAAAAGCATGTTTGGAGATTTAAGTAAATAGTGTAATAATGAATTATAAGTCAGTCAACCATAAATAGAGTACAAGTAGAGTGGTAGTTTGCCACCAAACAAAAGAGCACAAAAAAAAAAAGCTCAAGGTATCAAGTTTTTTATCTTCTCCTCAATTTTTCATTTGTAGATTTCTCCCCTGTTTTTGAATCTTTTTCATACCTTGATTGTCTTCATCTTTTTTATCAACTTCTCTTGTCAATTTTTCTTCTTTATTTAACACCCAAACCAATTGAACTACTAGTTTTGCTTGTTTTGTCTAGTTTGTAATTGGTTTAATTGATTCAAAACTAGTTTTTTCTTCCCCTTGTTTTAGCTTAGCTTCAAACTAGACATGTGACCAATCTCGATTCAATTGATTGAAGATCCATTTTTCATATCATTGCTAATGAGTGAGCTAAAACTATTAGATATGGCAACACATCTAAGAGAGAGGGGAATTGGGTATTTATGAAAATTTCAATTCTTTTAAAACATTTTCAGCAAAATTGTGTAAGGAAAAGTCTGAGTAAATTCAGGTTCTAAATTCTAATTGCAAGAATACTAAAGTAAATTTCACAGGCTCAATATATGTAAAATTAATTTCTAATTGGAAGTTCAAGTAAGAGCATGTAGATATATCAAATTTAATTTTGCATACTCAAATAGAGTATAAACTAAGGCTACAGAAAATATAAAGATTTAAGGGAGGAAACAGTGCAAACTATGATATATCTTGGTTCAGCTCCACCACTTGCTACTATAACACAAACTTAAGTGGGTGCTTGCTACTACAGTACAACTAGAAGTTTAGTTCAAGCACTTGTGACCCCTTACAGCAACTCACTTCACTAGTAAGCTTCTTTTTTCAAGAGAACAACCTCTCTTGATTACAAAAAAAATATCGTCCTCACTTTTACAGGGATTTTGAGTATATAAAACACTTAGTTTAAACTCTCTCTAAGAGAAATGATGAGTATAATGAAGCTCTAATACTCAAATAATGAAGATATAAATGAAACTGGCTCAGGAATAATAATTTTTGTAAAGTAAGAGCAATATGAACATGAATTTCATAACTTGATGATCTTTGAGTTTAATTGTAACACTTGCCCCGAGTGTTACCAAAAGCACCCCATAACCAATAAACTAAGTATGGTTAAGGAGTTGACCTTAAAACTAATTTAGGAAATAAACCCTTTAAATCACTAAACAATTTATGCAATAGCAAAACACACATATAAAATCTCTTAAAAAAGTTTAAAGGATTAATATGTAGCGCACGGAAGCAAGTTGGGCAAATAGAGGCAACTCATTACTGTCAGCATTAATATGCTGTCATGATAGCCCTCCCGAGAAAACTTTCGAGAGGTATCGTTTCACCATATGACCTCAAATCAAAGTGATTTTAAAGCCCACACATCTCTTTTAATGAGTACTAGTAGTGTTTCAAATTTCAAAAAGATCTAAGGATTAAAATTTGGACACGTTATAAGTTTGAACATTTTTGCTATTATGACATCTTTATTTGCTGTCATGACAGCACCTCCAGACCAACTTTAGAGTCATCTGACCTCCAATTGAAGTGATTCTAAAGCTCATGTGTCACTTTCAAATAGTACTACTAGAGTACCAAATTTAAAAAAAATCTAATGGTCAGAATAAAATTTGTGCGCGTCCTAACTTCAACGATTGTTGCTGTCACGATAGCATTAAATTGCTGTCATGATAGCACCTCCAAATCAAGTTCCAGAGTGTGCCATTCGAGGTGATACTAAAGCCCACACTAAGATTATAAATATTTTTACTTGTAACCTAAAT